TCTCCACCCACACACACACAGCCCTCCAGCGTGGACTTACAGCATTGCCTCCTTCACCGGGAGGGAGGTCTGGAGCCAGGCGACAACCGTGCTGCCGTGGGCCTCGTACAGCCGAACCACCACGGCTTCAGGTCTGTCCTCAGCCTGTGGGGGACAGGGCAGATGGGAGTTCAGACAAACCAGACAGGGGCGTCCTATCCTGCCCCTCGGGGTACAGCCCGTCCCAAGTGATGGTGACTGAGCGGCTCTGCCTGTGTGCACACGCTGTGCACACAGCTGTGCCTGCAGTACTCCCGTACAGATGTGGGTACTACCACACTACATCCCTGCTGCTAGTGCCTGCCTGGGCTGGCAGAGAGGAGCACTAACCCCCCTTGTCCCCACCTAGCAGGACCTGCAGACCAGAGGGATCACTGTTTCCGCTCCTGCCACCCAGCGTCGGGGGAAGCACAAGCTTAACTCGTCTGCCCTCCCCACTGCTGCCGCGGGGACTCGCCTGCTTGACGGTCTCCAGGACGACTGCAGGTGAGGTGACAGAGAAGGCGCTCCAGGCCGGGCACTGGGCAGAGCTGGCTGGGACCACGTGGAGGGGGAAATTCAAGTTGTAGGCACGCTGGATCACCCCGGCATCCTGGAAGGAACCTGCAAGCCAAGACCCGCTAGCCAGCCTCTACACAGCTACAGCCAGAGACGTGCTCGCGCCAAGGCTCGCCGCAGCACCCTGCGCGGCCCCACAGGGCCCAGCTCCGCCCATCGCTCACCCAGGTGAGGCATCACGGCGTAGGTGAACTGGTGCTGCGCGACGTCTGCCGTGGCGTCGGGGGACTTGGGTGCTCTCAGCCTAAGGCCACAAGAGCTACCTGTGAGGCTGGTGTCTCAGCAGCACCCTCTGCCACCCAGTGCAGAGCCAGAGGAGCACCGTGACAAGACAACTGCCTCCCCCTGCTACCTCGAGGCTGGGCCCCGAGGTGGAAGCCAACATGCTGCTGGTTTCTGGCAACAGCAAACAGACCCTGGACAGTCCCAGAAGCTAAAAAATTTGAAGGGTGTTTACCCGTGAAACTAGGAGTAGAGTTTCTCTTAGCTTTGTATGCATCCGTAACATTGCTGTTCCTTCCTCTCCTTAAACCTCCCCTCCTGGGGCATGTTTTAGCCAGTAACAAAAAAATTACTTGGTGCAAATGTGGATCTGATCTCTCCTGGATTTTACCTACAAGCATAACTCACGGGAATTAATTACAACTGACTAAGATAATGTAAGTCAGACAAAAGTTCCACTTAGGCTAATACCAGACTATTTCCTTATAAACTATGATCATTTAGGACCAGGTGTTGCCTTGACTTCCAAGAGACACCTCAGAAGGCAAAGCGACTGCTGCAGCTCCACCCTCACCCCACCCTGACTCACAGCGAGAGGCTGAGGACATTCCCGTGGGCTGACGCCCCGTATTTGCAGTCGTTCAGCAGTGCCACCCCAAAGCCGTGCTCGGAGAGATCCAGCCACTTGTGAGCCCACACCTGCAGGAGGCACCACAGGACATATTCACCACACAGAGTTCCTGCCTGGGAGCAAAAGCAGCCCCAGCACGGGAGGAGCAGCTTGGCCCTGGGACACGACCACCCTTCTTCTCACCTCGAATCGAGCCCAGTCCCAAGATGTGTTCCAGTGCGTTGGCCGCTGCAGGTGTCCAAACTGGATCTCATAGGTGGCGTTTGTGCTCCGGACCTGCACAGGGAACTCCACCTTCAGGAACTTGTGAGCCTCCTTCCACTCCACCTAAATGCAGGAGCAGAAGGACGTCACCACAGGGCGGAGGGGCATTGGCAGGCAGAGGCTGCCCTTATCCCACCCCGATGTGCAGCAGCCAGCTCGCACGCAGGCCAGACCAGGTGCAACAAAACCACACTAGAGTCTGAACACAGATGAACTGGCAGGTCTCTCTCCCACCCTTGTCCCTCAGGACCCCCACCCTCAGGCTGTCTTCCCCTAAGGCAGAGGAGGACAGGCAGTGGGAGGCTGCAGGCAAGGAAAGAGGAGGGGGAAACATAATGCAGAGGCGAGGTTCAGCTCCCCAGGGCCCTGCTGGCACAGCACCCATGTTCGTATTGCGCCGAAGCCGCTGGCCAAACCTGGGTCCGGAAGCGGAGGTACGGGCACGTGGCATCCAGGATGATCTCCTGGGTTAAGGTGCTGCTTTCCCCAATCCGCAGAGAGAAGCTGGCGCTTCCCCGCAGGCCTCCAGCCAGGGTGATTTCCAAAGGCTTCAGCAGCGTTGTCACTGGCTTCCTAGAGAAAGGGATGAAGGCAGAGCTGATCTCAGCCTGGTAGATCCAGATTTCCAAATCCCAATCCAGCTTCCCACACCCCAATCCAGCTTCCCACCCAGCAGGCACTCATTTTTCCAGAGTGAATGCTCTGTTACAGCTTTTGTTACAGCTAGGGCTGACAGGGAGGCAAGGACCTCAAAGCACAGTCAAAATCCAAGTGCTGCACGCACTGCTCCTCTACCTGGTTTCCAAGTGATAATCCATCACATCCCAGGCATCCCAGTAGAGAGGGACATCATCAAAGAGCGCAAACTGGTTGGCATAGCAGCCATCTGGGACTGACTCTCTGGAACAAAGTGGAACAGGGAAACAGCAGCGTAAGAAGAAGTGGAGAAGGGCGTACAGTGAGAAGAAGACCTAAGTGAGGTTTGAGGAGCCCAGTTCCGTTAACTGGGTGGCAGACATACCTCTCGGAGCCCACCAGCCGAAGCGAGGTCAGGTGCCCCATCGTGTCCAGGCAGACCGCGATCACCCCATTCTCCATGGCAATGGAGCCGTCCTCCTTGGGAAGAGGACAGAAACAGATTTCGTAGACCCACACCTGCGGGAGCTGAGTGCCTCAGCTGTAAATCTAGGGTGCAGACTTGCTGTCTGCTGGATTCCCTGGATTTCTCCCCAAACCACCTTTGTTGCAGGGTACACCGATGTGAGGACAATTGCCGTTGTGCTTACCTGTCTCCTCACTGCCACAGGCTGAGGGGGCAGCAACGGCTCCGTCACCATAGCATAGCCCATGCTGGGGACTGTCACCAGAGCTGGAAACCAAAGAGGTTCTGTTCCAACATCTGCCCCAGACCTAACCCTAAGTCACACTGTGCCGCCCTGCTGCTCTCATGTCAGACCTACCACCTCCTTTCATATCCTCCTCTTCTCCATCCATAATTCAGGGACAACTTGGAAGTGGGATAAAGTCCCAAGGAGTGAGTCCCAAGCCAGCAAACCCTCCCCAAGGCAGGGAGAGGCAAAGTATTTCTTTGCCCCTGTAAAAACTCTGATACAGGAGTTATCCCTGAGTTAGCCATACCTAAAGTCTCTCTTCCAGTTGGCCCAGTCCTGGGGATCACCTCAGTCCGCTCCCAGGGCAAAGTGTTCAACACGAGGGCGTTCTCAGCGCTCCCTGCCTTGGGCTGCAGCAGTTCCCTGCACAAGGACTGCACGGCTTCCTCCTGCAGCCGAGCACCAGCCCTGCGGATCTCTGAGCAATAAAAAGGCCTGAGCTGGATCCGGCCACGCTGCTTCTCACATCTGAGAGAGCTGCTGGCACTCCCATGCAATGTACACACACTTTCACTACTTCTAAGCTCAAGTTACTCGTTATCATTCATTATTATTATCTATTAGTAAGTAATTGAAGTTTATAATTATTCTTAACTTTGTTATTACAAGATTACAATGAGCTATGCCAGCTCAACTGGAACACTGTGGTGCTATAATAAAGTAAAGCTACTGCAAGTGCCTGTGGGCAGGCAGGAGCAAACATCTGCTGGGGTCTATCCTGGCATGCCAGCAGCAAGCAGAGAAGTCAATAACTTGGGATGGTTTTTAACCCCTTGGCTCTCCTGCTAACAATTCCCTGTTGAGTCAGCACTATTACAGACACAGGCCTGCGCAGGTTTGACCCACAGCGCCTGGCAGTCCAGGACTGAAACCTCTGCAGCCCTACCAGGCAGGACCCGGTGTGCTCCAACAGAGAAGTGCCCTCCTAGTCAAACTCCCCGCTCACCTGTGTAGTATTGGAGGGCATCCTCAACCACGAGCTGGATACAGCTTCCTGGCAAAACATCATGGAATTGGTTGAGCAGCAATAACCTAAAAGAGAGAACAGAAAACAGGGGAGGAAGGAGGGGAGAGCACTGGGTTTGTTCTGGCTTAGCGAGCCCTGTTTGCAAGATGGACAAACTTAACAACTGTTCCTTATCGCCCTGTTAGCAAGCACTTGAGAGAAAAGGATTTTTTCTGTAGCATCCTTTAAATCCCTTTATGGGAAGATGCTTAGGACTTGTCAACCGTCATCTTAGTAAACCACAACCATGGGGAGTAAGAGCTATTCTTTTTTTTTTTTTTATCCCTCAGGGCTACCAGTATATCGTTGCCCAAGTTAAGACAAGTCAAAACTGGCGAGGAATAAGCTTAGGTCAGAAATGAAGCTTCCAGCCAGCAAAGTAGTGAG